GTTCCACTCTGTCCTCTAGGGGCGCTGTGGGTCAGAATTGGCTTGGCGGCAGTGGGTGTGGGGAGGTAAGAGGTTGGTGGGGTGGACAGGGGCTCTTGTGTCCAGGTGTTAAACGCTCATGTCCTCTCTGCTGTTTTGCTTAGTGTCAACTGGGTGTGTTGCCCCTGGGGACCGGGAACGACCTGGCGCGCGTGCTGGGCTGGGGCTCAGCCTGTGACGATGACACGCAGCTCCCCCAGATCCTGGAGAAGCTGGAGCGGGCCAGCACCAAGATGCTGGACAGGTGAGTGGGCGGCGCTCTAAGAAATGGTCACCTTGTCCAGGTGTCCTTCCCTGGGCTCCGTGCAAACCATGGGCCCTGAAACTCGTGGTCCGAGTTTGACCCAAGAAGATGGATACCCCTGACTTGAGTGGACACTGCTTTTCTCTGATGGTTTTTAGTTTTCAGTCAGATTATGACAAAGATCCATCCTTCAAGACAGGTTGAGAGCCATGCCCTAGGTAGCCAGGTCTTTGTGTGAGACCTTCTCTGAATCTGTCAGGGCTTCAGGGAAAATGACTCTGTAGCCTTCACCGTGCTGGCCCAGAACCTGGTCCTGTCAGCTTGGCACTCCTTCCTGCAGACCCCAGAGTTCCATGTTCCCGGAAGAGTTTACATTTTGGATAGTGACCCTCTGGGTGCTTAGAATTCTTTGGCATGTTCTTGAGAGAAATGCCTTTAGTTCCAAGCTAGGTGTCTGAAACTCCTGACCAGGTACATGAAACCAGGTGATAGAGTCCGTTCCAACCCATGGTACCACCAGTCACCTCTCTCCGCGTGCTTGATGACTGAGCCTGACTTGGCTCCATGGGGTTTTCAGTGGCTGAGGGTTCGGAATTAGTCTTGGAGACTCAGGCCTTTCTTCCAAGGCATGTGGAGGAACTGGGCCTATGTGAGCTCTCAGGGACCCTGGTTCTGATCAGCACCGGCCTTTGGAAGCACCTGGCTGCCCTTGCTATTTGGGGGGCTCCTGTGTAAGGAATCCCGTGTGCCCACAGCTCTCGGTTGTTCAGGGAGGGGCATGTAGCTCCCGGACGAAGGTCTGTCCTTTCTCCAAGAGCAGCATTGACCTCCAGGGTAGCCGTTTCTGGGCCAGAGCCCGGCTCTTCCCGCAGAGTGGTCTGAGCTTGGGCTTGAGAAATAGATGCGTCTGTTTGCAGCCAAGTGAGGGACCGAGGTGGTCATGTCACAGGACATGGAGCCCCTACAGAGGGGGCTTCAGGATGAAGCTAGAAGTCGTCCTCAGAACCCGGGAGGAGAGCAGGTGTGAGGCCGCTCCTGAGGATCTACACATCCTCAGCCGCCCCCTTGTGGCCGCTGGGGACGGGGTGCGAGCAGCCCATGTGTGTGCAGGTGGAGCGTCATGGCGTATGAGACCAAGCTCCCGCGGCAGGCGTCCTCGTCCACTGTCACTGAGGACTTCAGCGAGGACTCTGAGGTAGGCCCTGCTTCCGGACAGGCTGCTGTGACGTGGAATGAGCGAGGGTGCCCTGTCTGCCAGGCGGAGGACTGGGTGATCTGTAGGATGAAGTTCTGGGGCCCCTTGCCCAAGCCCGCCCTGTGCTCCTCGCCTGCGCCCCTCACCCCATGCCCCTCGCTGCGCCCCTCGCCCACACCTCTCACCCGCACTCAGCACGTAGTTGCCATGGAGGAGGCATTTGTTAAAGCCCAGTGCCTGGGCACATACCATGTGTGAGTTTTCGTTAACATGCTGTTTTGTGCTGAAGGGCTCTCCTTCCGTTTACAGCCACTGGGTTGAGCAGACGCTCTTGAAGTCTCCAGGTAGCCCTGGCAGGTCTAGGTTAGCGTTTGACTGAGGTGAGGCTTGGGCTGTGTGAAACAGCACGTGTTAAAAGTCACCTCTGGGCCTGCTCAGCAGGGGAACAGTGCAGAATCCTCTTGACTCTGCGTCCCCAGGCAGTCAGTCCCTGAGACACACCATGACCCACTGTCCTGTTTGGGGGTCCCTGAGACCCACCATGACCCATTGCCAGGTTTGGGGGTCCCTGAGACCCACTGTGACCCACCATCCTGTTTGGGGGTCACCGTGACCCACCATTCTGTTTGGGGATCACTGAGACCCACCATGACCCACCATCCTGTTTGGGGGTTACTGAGACCCACCATGACACCGTCCTGTTTGGGGGTCACCGTGACCCACCATCCTGTCTGGGGGGATTCAGGTGCAGCAGATCCTGGTGTACGAAGATTCGGTTGCAGCCCACCTGTCTAAAATCCTGACTTCGGACCAGCACTCAGTGGTGATCTCCTCAGCCAAGTGAGGCCGTGGGCGTGGGAGGGGCTCAGCCGGGAGCGGTGCTGGCTCCCAGCGGGAACGCTGTACAAGTGCCCTGTGCGTCTCTGCTCAGGGTGCTCTGTGAGACCGTGAAGGACTTCGTGGCCCGGGTCGGGAAGGCCTACGAGAAAACGACCGAGAGCTCCCAGGAGTCAGAGGTCATGGCCAGGAAGGTCTGTTCCCAGGGAGCCTCTCGGGGTGGGGGTGGGGGGTGAGGACTGTGGAAGGTCTGCTCTCGGGGAGACTCTCAGAGGGGCAGGGGGTCGGGGTGAGGACGCACCCTCCACTCCGCTGTCCCCCCCAGTGCTCTGTCCTGAAGGAGAAGCTGGACTCCCTCCTCAAGACCTTGGACGACGAGTCCCAGGCCTCCTCCTCTCTACCTAACCCTCCGCCTACCATCGCCGAGGAGGCAGAAGACGGGGACGGGCCCAGCAGCGTCTGCAGCTCCTCGGGGGACCGCGCCCTGGGCCCAGCCGGCCCCTCCCGGCCACAGATCTTCCGGCCTCGAGAGCAGCTTATGCTCAGGGCCAACAGCCTGAAGAAGGCCATCCGCCAGATCATTGAGCACGCGGAGAGAGGTGACCGGCAGCGTCCGTGGGGGAGCTCGGGCACGCCCCTGCCCCGATGCGGTGGGAGGCCACAGTCAGGCCCTCGGGGGTGATGGGGGTACTCAGCCCTTAGCTGGAAGACGGAATGTAGACTGTGATGTGACGGGCGGGGGGTGGGCTTGGCCCTCAGCAGGGAGACGTTAGCAGGAACGTGGGCCGTCAGGTGCGTCGGCCCCAGGAGCACCATCCAGCCCGGATGCCCGGGGCTTGGTGCCCACGCACTCAGCCGCACATCTTCTCCTCGCGCAGCCGTGGACGAGCAGAATGCCCAGACCCAGGAGCAGGAGGGCTTTGTCGCGGGTCTCTCTGAGTCGGAGGAAAAGAAGGATCTGAGGACGGATGACAGCGTGGGCCCCCCCCCATCCAGCGAGAACTGTGGAGTCTCCAAAGGCAGGAGCCACCGCAAAGGTACCAGCCGGCCTCCATCCGCCCTGGAGGGGCCAGCCTGGCATCTCAGGCTGTAATGAGGTGTGAGACTGACGAGGCCCCTCTGGATGGCACAGGTGGCACTGTGCAGGGTAGAGATTCACAGCCACGGCCTGCCCCCAGGCTCGCCCACACAAGCGTGTGTCCACGAGCGGAAGTGCGTCATGTTGTTGTGAAATGTGCCAGTAGGGGCCTGGCCGAGGGCTGTGCCTGTGTATCCCAGGGCCGGGCCCAGTGACAGGCTCCTGGAGCAGGCCCCCCACGGCTGCTGCACTGGGGCACAGGGTTCATGCACGCTGATGGGGAGTAGTGGCCTCAGCGCCATCCTCTGCTGACAGCATCTGCCTCCTCACATAGTCTGACTGCCTCGACCCACACTTTCTGGGCTCTGTGTCAGCCGTGAGGTCCGACCCAAGCTCCCCTCACCTGTCACCCGCTTGCTCACACGGGACCTTTCCCTGCACAGATGTCCCAGCCCTCGAGGCCGCTCCGCTCACCCCTGGTGCCCTGCCTCCCAGGTCCTCAGTGACCTTCGGGTTCGGGGCCTTACGATTTTCTCCTGTTTTCTCAGTGTCCAGGTCACCCTGTGAGAAGCTGATAAGCAAAGGAAGCTTGTCCCTGGGCAGTTCGGCGTCGCTCCCCCCACAGACGGGAAGCCGGGACACCCTGCCGGCGCTGAACGCCAAGATCCTGTACCCACGTGAGTGTGCCCGCCTCTCCAGCCACGTGGGCAGGGGTGCCAGTGGTGTTCCCGCAGCTATAGGAGTGAGTGAGTGAGTGCAGTGAGGCCCATGGGCACAGCGAGGCCCTGCTCTTCACCCTGCATCCTCTAAGCCTGGCCCTGGGTCTGTCTGAAGGTCACGACAGGGTCACTGTCCGCAGAGTTACAGGCCCATGGGGAGGAGACAGGCACTGTGCAGATGCCCTGTGTACAAAGAGCAGATGGGATCCACGTGACTGCCTGCAGCAGCCCAGGAAGACCATGTGGGCAGGACACGTCCCTGGAGCGGGGGGAGTGGCACTCGGGGTTCACGGTGCCGTCAGGCTTCTTGAAGCAGAGCTCACAGCCTGCCCCAGGAGCCCAGGCTCTCCTGGCCAGGCAGTGCACACCACGTCATGCCCTTCTCCGTGTGCAGTCCGGCTGTTTCTAGATGGAATCTCAACTGAACGGGAAGAAAATTCCTATAGCCTGTAGGACCTGAGGCTGGTGCCGCGGATCAGTGAAGCTGATCAGCGAGAGATACTTCTGAAAGGAGTGGATTGGGAAAACGATGCAAAGCACAGTCTAGCTCAGCTTTAGGCTTGAAGTGTCTCTAGAGTGGTGCCCGTGCTGTGAGGGTTCTGGTCACCTGGAGGATGCTCATGTTGAGTTCTCCCTCTTGGAGTTAGTCTTGTGGAGCAGTGTGACGGAGCGCTTAAATTCCACGGGAACCATCGTGGTAATGCGGTAATGCCGCTGTAGGAGTCATGCCGCCCACCTGAGTATTCTCATGGTATGGTGCCTAAGAATTTGACTGCTAACCAGAAGGCTGGCGGTTCAAATCCACCAGCCACTCCTCAGAAGGGCAACTGGGCAGCCTACTTTCATAGAGATACCACCTCAGAAACCCAAGGAGGGGCCGGTGTGAGTCATAACTGACTCGGCGGCAGTGAGTTGGGTTTGTTTTCAGTAGGTGTCAGTCCCTGCCGCCTGCGTGAGTGTTTTCATTTCACTGAATGGGGGTTGATGACGGTGAGGTTTGACCTGAGACTCTTGACCTTCATAGTTCGGACATGTGGATGCCTTGTTTTAGAAACGTTTGGGTGTGATGACGTCCTGGAGAATGTGTGCCCGTCAGCCTTGGCGATGCCCGTTTCTCCTGGTTCTGTGGGTCTGACTGGCGATGCCGGTTTCTCCTGGTTCTGTGGGTCTGACCGGCGTCTTTCCTTTGGTCTCCATTCTAGATGTTCGGGCTGGGATGTCCGGCTCCTTGCCGGGGAGCTCCGTCATCAGTCGCCTGCTGATTAACGCTGACCCCTTTAACACCGAGCCAGACAACCTGTGAGTACGAGCGTAAACCCTCTGGGCCCACTGTGCAAAGAATGTGGAGCCTGAGAACGAGTTTCAGAATTAGCTGGAGAGCTGAGGGCAGAGCGGGGTCGGTAGTCCTTTCCTGCTGTTGTTAGCTGGTGGGAGAGCTTGAAACGGTACCAGCTCAGCTTCCGGAATATGGTGGGAAGCAGCCCGCCCCACTTTGCTAACCAAGCCCAAGCCGGTTGCCCTCGGGTCAGCTCCACTCTCGGCGGCCCCACGTGTCGAGAGTAGAACTGTGTGCCGCAGGGTTTCCAAGGCTGGGTGACCTTTTGGAATCGGGTCGCCAGGCCTGCTCTCTGGGAGGATTTGAACCGTCAGCCTTTTGGTTTCCAGTCTCCTAGAGAAGGGCGAAGGCGCTGAAGCGCTTCATGGCTCCGTCCCCTGCTTCCTCTAAAGATTCTGACAATCTGAGGTTTTCAAGATTCAGAAACTCTTGCTGGAAGCTAGCTCTGCATTGTCTTCTTCACCTGCACACGGGCGCACGCCAGTGGCCTCTTCTGGACAGATTGCGCTCCCTTCCTCAGATGGCACCCTTGTCGGCTGCTCACCATCCTCAGTGATGAGGGCCGTGGGTGCCTGGCTGGAGAGGTCGTCCGTGGAACCTGCCCCAGGGAGGGTGCTGTCGGGTGCAGCCCTTTGGGGGCGTGATCTTCTGCCCCGCCCGTTTTCTAAGGCGTGAGGACATTCACACAGTCGTCTAGTGGAGTCTGTCCCTTTGTAAAAGGAAGCTGGGTGGCACCGGGATTAAAGCATTCAGCTGCTAACCAGAAGGTCAGCGGTTCAAACCCACCAGCCGCTCCACGGGAGAGCGGTGAGACAGTCTGCTTCCATACAGATCTCCGCCTGCGGAATTGGCCGACGGCAGTGGGCTTTTGATCGGTCCCTTTGTGTGTAGGGCCATTGCCGGAGGGCAGGTGTCTGGAGAGCTGACCTAGACTTTCCTTTGTCTTGACTGACTGCAAGTCCGAGGGGCTCAGCGGGCTCGTGGTCATTGTCTGAAAGCACCAAGCCTGTGTGTCTGGCACAGCGGGGGCTGTGCGGTGGTGGAGGGGGGTGCCGTTTGCAGAAACTCTCTGGGAGCTTTGAGAGTGGATGGACGCGTGTACAGGAGGGCCGCCCCCCTCAGACCATTTGCCAGAGATACCCCTTAGTTTACACACCTACTACCAGGTGAAGGCCTGCTGGCCTCCTGAGACATTCTTGTCCTGGTCCCGGCTCCGCCCACCTGCGTGGCCAGGTGTCGCCACTGGCTGGTGGCCTTGCTGCATCCCCTGCTCAGGGGCCTCTCCCTTCATCACCTGTCCTGGCAGGGCAACCCTGGATCACGGGCCAGGTGAGACCCTGAGGCCCTGGACGAGGCTCAGCCGCGGCCCCCGGGGATCCTGCAGGTGGGGGCAGCAGGTGGGCTAGCTGCACAGGATTCCCGGAGCAGCGTCCGGGCCTGCCTGCCCGGGGAGTGGCAGGAGGGCCCCGCGGAAGGGATGAGATGGGCCTCTGGCGCGGTGGGCACAGGGAAAGGGAGGTTCTGTTGCCACAGCTCAGGCGGACGGCTCCAGGGCACTTTCCTATTTGATCTGGAGGCTGCCGGGATCGGCTCTCGGGAGGCTTGAGGAGGCTCTGGCAGTCAGGGCTCAGATCCGTGGGCGTGTACCTGCCACACAGGCAGCAATTGTGCCGTGTAGCCACCGAGGAGAGCGGTCCGGCCGTTCCTCCAAAGGTTAGACGTGCTGCCGTGAGGTGTTGAATAAACTGTGACTCAGCAGCGTTACGGGAGGAAACCTGCGCGTTCCTGGGTCCTCCCCACAGTTGCTGGTAGATCTGAGCCCATCGTGGCAGCCACCGTGTCAGTCCCTCTTCCCCATTTTCGCTGACCCTCCTCTTTACCCAGCATCATGTCCCCCAGGGCCTGGTCCCTCCGGATCACGTGACCAAAGTAGGTGAGATGAGGTCTCCCCTCCTCTCTTGGAAGGAACATTCCAGCCGCACTTCTTTGAAGGCGGGTTGGTTTGTTGCTCTGGCAGAGGCCACGGATAGTCAGTCTTTTTTACCACCATCCTAATTCAGAGGCATCAGCTCTTTGGTCCTCCTTATTCACTGTCCAGCTCTCACGTGCATATGAGGCCACTGAACATTCCACGGCTCGGGGCAGGTGCACCTTAGTCCTTAAGGGGAGCTCTTTGCTCTTTGGCACTTTATTTAAAGAGGTCTTTTGTGGCAGATTTGTCCAGTGCAGTACATGCTTGGACCTCGTGACTGATGCTTCCGTGGGCATGGATGCTGGCTCCAAGTAAAATGAAATCCTTGACAACTTCAGTCTTTTCTCCATTGACCATGCTGCTGCTCACTGGTCCACTGTGAGGGTCTTTTCTTTATGTTGTTGATCATGCTGCTGCTCACTGGTCCGCTGTGAGGGTCTTTTCTTTATGTTGTTGATCATGCTGCTGCTCACTGGTCCGCTGTGAGGGTCTTTTCTTTATGTTGTTGATCATGCTGCTGCTCACTGGTCCGCTGTGAGGGTCTTTTCTTTATGTTGTTGATCATGCTGCTGCTCACTGGTCCGCTGTGAGGGTCTTTTCTTTATGTTGTTGATCATGCTGCTGCTCACTGGTCCACTGTGAGGGTCTTTCTTTTATGTTGATCATGCTGCTGCTCACTGGTCCGCTGTGAGGGTCTTTCTTTTCTTTATGTTGAGGTGTAATCCATGCTGAAGACTGTGGTCTTTCATCCTCATCAGTAAGTGCTTCAAGTCATCTTTGCTTTCAGCAGTCAAGGTTGTGTCATCTGCGTATTGCAGGTTATTAATGAGTCTTCCTCCAATCCTGGTGCTGTATCCTTCTTCGTATAGTCCAGTTTCTCAGATAATTTGCTCAGCATGTAAATTGAACAAGTATGATGAAAGATTACAACATTTATATGCACTTCTCCTGATTTTAAACCATGCAGTATCCCCTTATCTTGTTCAAACAACTGCCTCGGTTTATGTACAGGTTCTGCATGAGCATATTAGTGTTTGAGAATTCCATTTCTTCACAGTGTTATGCATAATTTGTTTTTATTGACACAATCAGATGCTTTTGCATAGTCAGTAAAACACAGGTAAACATGACAGGTAATGACGTGGGTAGACAGGCTGGATGATCATGTGTGTTTAGGAAGAAGGGAGTACACCTGTGACCCTATGGGGTTGGCAGACGGTATTTCTTTTTTTTTTTTTATTAGGATTTGGGTGAAGATTTACAGAGTAAATTCACTTTTCATACAGCAGTTCACATATACTTTGTCTCATGTCATTGACCAAAATTTATAATGCAGCAGCTCCCCTCCCACTTCCTCCCCATAGTTACCTCCTCCCAGTGTCCATCCCTTCATACTCTTCTGCACCCTGAGCTGTCTCCCTGTGCATAAGCAGCCCTTCCTTCTCCCATGATTGTTCTCTCCAGGGCGTGTGTCTACTTGAGGTAAATGTTTAACACACATGCCTGTACTTTGTTTGGCTGGAAACCACAGTTGTGGGTTCAATTCCAGACCTGAAGGGCAGCTAGGGGCCATAGTCTCAGTGGTTACACCAGGCTCCATTGGACCAGCAAACCTGGTCCCCACCTTCTTTTTTTTTTCGCCTCCAAATGATTTTGAGTTTTGTACCACATTGTTCTCCCTCTTTACGCAGGATCTCCTACATCCCTTCCAAGTGGATGGCAGTGGTAGCTGGGCACCATCTAGTTCTTCTGGTCTCATAGTTGTATAGGTTGCAGATCGGATGGTGTACCAGTCGCTAGGACTGATTGTTTCCATTAATTTTGGTTTTCTTCTTTCTTCTTGATGAGGAGAGACCCATTGTTGCATCTAGATGGCAGCTTCCTAGCTTTTAAGGTCCCAGTCGCTACTCGCCAAAGTAGTAGGTGGAACAATGTTTTGTATAGTATGTTATGACAATTGAGTTTGATGTCCCCTGCGACTATGGTCCCAAGCCCGCAGGATCAACTACTCGGTCCCTCTGGGTAGCTGGCTGTGACCAAGTAATGACCATAACCTTGCCCCTTGTCAGCTCTACTATACACCTGGGAATTCTGATCATTCACATGAACTTATAGGCCCATTGGGCAGACGGTATTTCTACGTACGTATTTGTATGTGCTGTGAGAATGTCCGTGTAATTGGAACTAACGGGGACCGAAGTTTTAATAACTTTTTAGGCACAGACAACTACCCTGATGGAACAAGTTGTTGAACCTGTGGGCTCAAGACTGTGGTTGCAGGGGATATCAAGCTCAATTGGCATAGTGTGCCTCACAAAAACGTTGTTCTATATCCTACTTTGGGGGTAGTGACTGGGACCTTAAACGCTTGCAAGCCGCCATCTAGATGCAGCAATGGGTCTCTCCTCATCCAGAGCAAAGAAGAATGAAGAAAACCAAAGATGCATGGAAACAATTAGTTCAGGGGACTAGTGGACCATGCAAACCTCAGCCTATATGACCACAAGACCAGAACTAATAGGCAAATCTGTGGAGCCAGGCATGGTTCCAGGGGCTTGGGGGGTTGGGGCGTGGTGGGGGTGACAGCTAAGGGTGTGGGGCTGCTTTTTAGGGTGGTGGAAATGTTCTGAAATCGATTGTGATGACAGTTTGCATGACTGAATATACTAACCACTGCTGGTTTGTCCACTTTCAGGGGATGAGTTGTGTGGTGTGTGAACAACTGCTCGGTAAACTGCTAGCCCTCTGCCACCGCAGGGGGGTGCTGGCATGAGGCCCTTGGTGAGGCTGGTTGTAATGGACTGGAAATCTGCCTTTGCAGAGAGTATTACACAGAGAAGTGTGTCATGAACAACTACTTCGGCATCGGCCTGGATGCGAAGATCTCCCTGGATTTCAACAACAAGCGTGACGAGCACCCTGAGAAGTGCAGGTGGGCACTGACTGTGAACGTGGGCCCACCACCTCATCCTCGCTTCTCTTCCCACATAGGCAGGTCGTTTCTGGAGTCAGCGGGCTGGAGACTGCAGAATGCTAAGGCTGAGGGCGTGTGAAGAGGGCGGTGTTTCTCGGGGATGTGAGGGTAGCAGGTCACAGGCCAGGAAGCCACTGTGGGTGGGTCAGATGGTGACAGCTTCCACGTTGCACAACCAGCACTGCTGTCCCTGGAGCGAGCCAGGTCTCTCCTCGAGGTCACTGGTCACTGAGGATTCTCTGGGAATGCCTTGTGAAGGTGTTATGAATCAGCCCTGTGAGTTTCCAAGAGTCTCTGGATTCGTCACTTGCACAGACCCGCACCCCCTGGTCCCAGCAGAGCTGCGCAGCCACACTGGAGCCCACCCTCGGGGGAGACCAGCCCTGAGGGGCTTTGCCGTCATGGCCGGTTCTCCTCCTAAGATTCCGTGTGCTGCTGCTCCAGGCCTGGGGGTAGGGCGGAGGGAGTGGAGAGAGTCATTCCTTTGAAGCTCTGTGGGGAGGGGAGGCGGGAGTGGGACCCCTGCGTCTCCTGCCTCCACCCCACAGGCCACGATCCATTGATCGAGGAGACTGTTCAGCTCTGGCGTTGGAGCTGGAGAGTCAGGAGAGGGCATGGGCGTAGGAGGAGGCGCCCCCTGCTGGCGAGAGCCTGCTCCTGCCTGCCTGTCTCTGTGGGATTACCTGTCACCTAGAGGAATACACCTCACACCTTGGGAGTTAGCTCCACTAAAGTTCTGTGTAGTTGGAAATTTCTAGAAAAACTGGAAGAAAAAAAAGAAAAAAGCACAAGAACTCACAACACCCTTGAATTCTGGGGCTCTTCAGGAGAGGAAGTGGCCCCAAGGTCCCCAGGGATGTCTGTTACACAGTACAGCCTGCCCGGCTCTGCTGTGTACTGATACAGCACAGCGCCCTGTATCATTCTGAAATAGCCCTGCTAGTCCAGAAAGGCCCTCTGGTTGCATCGTGGTTAAAGTGTTGGGTTGCTACCTAAAAGGTCAGCGGTTCAAACTCACCAGCCACACTGCAGGAGAAAGCTCAGCAGTGGGTTTCTGTAACGATTACAGCTTGGAAGCTCCATGGGTCAGTTCTACCCTGTCCTCTAGGGGTGCTCTGAGTCCACACTGACCTGATGACAGTGAGTCGGGTTGGTGTTCGGTGCTTGTCTGTGTAAACAGGAGTTTGTCCTTCCTTATTTTAAGGTGCTGTGGCTGGGAGAACCACTAAAGCGTGCTGACCTGGGTGGGATGTGTGCCCTTCCAGACTCTGGCAGTGAATACAGGTAGCTGTACAGAGGAGCCAAGAACCGTGTCCTTTGCTTTTTGTTACTAGGAGTCGGACCAAAAACATGATGTGGTATGGCGTTCTGGGGACCAAGGAGCTGCTGCACAGAACCTATAAGAACCTGGAGCAAAAGGTCCTGCTGGAGGTAACCAGACAGAGAGCTCCCGGCCCTGTGGGCGGCCCCCCCGGCTCCCCTTCTGTCGGGGTCTTCTCTCCCGCCAGCCATCGCCCTGGGCCGGCTGTGGACCCCGGACTCCCCCTCACAGCCATCTCCCTGGGCCGGCTGTGGACCCCGGGCTCCGTGGGTCCCTCACAGCCATCGCCCTGGGCCGGCTGTGGACCCCGGACTTCCCCGCCAGCCATTGCCCTGGGCCGGCTGTGGACCTCAGGCTCTGTGGGTCCCTCAGTTATTGAGCACCCCTTCCGTGCATGTGCACCCCCATTGGGAGCAGGCCCCAATGACAATGTGATTCCCCTCCCCACCCCTCCATGTTCCTCCCCTCAGTGTGATGGACGCCCAATCCCACTCCCCAGTCTTCAGGGAATTGCGGTCCTCAACATTCCCAGCTATGCCGGAGGGACCAACTTCTGGGGGGGCACCAAGGAAGACGACGTACGTATGGGGGTGATTGGGTGAGGTGGGCCTGGGGCAGGGCGTAAATAGAGCAGTGATCGGTGCTTGGGAAGGGGGCATCCTGGCTCCCGGCAGCGTCTTCCTGACACCCGTGAGGCTCAGACGCCTCTGTGTTCAGGAAATGCAAGGGAGGACAGGACAGGAAGGGCCCTGTCCACGGGGTGGCTTGTCTAGAAAGGGGCCTGAGGAGAGAGGCTGCATGGTGCGGTCCAGGCTGCAGGCCCTGTGGGCACAGGCCCCACCCAGATAACGGCTCCGGAAGCATTTGGAGGAGGAGCCTCCACGCTGGGACCCGAGGCTGAGGAGGCGGGGTGGGGGCTGTTGAGGCAGAAGGAGCGGCATAGGTGAGGGCCTGCAGGCCAGTTAGAGTGGGTGCGTGGAGGTGGGAGACCAGTGACTGCAGGCGGCAGAGTCATTGGGGCTCCGGGTCCCAAGGAGCTTTGTCAGCCAGCCAAGATGTTTGGGGTGCATGCGGTGGGAGGCCTGGCCAGGTTCTAGCTCAGGAAATGGCTTCCTTTGCCCGTGTAGCTCATGAGCACAATGCATACTCCACACACTTGGCCATGCGGCTGCTGCTCTAAGCTCCTCACGCGGTCATTGCTCGTGACAGCCCCCTGGGGAGTGAGGTGATCTCACCCCATTTCACAGATTGGAAAACTGGGGGATGGAGAGAGATTCAGGGGGTCCCACTGACTAGGAGGTGGCAGAGCTGGGTTGACCAAGCAGCCAGTGGCAGGGTCTGTGATGTCGACCTCTCCTGTGCTGTTCACCCTGTGGCTCTGTGGGCGTTTAGGAGGCTGGGAGGTGCTCTCCTAAAGGGATTGGCTGAGAGGAGGGGAGCAGGGGGGTGGGGTGCAGAGCGCCCCAGGCTGTGTTGGGCAGCAGTCAGCCCTGGCACCAGGGGAGGAGGGAGGGGAGGAGGAAAGTGTGGCACGCAGCACCCTGGGCTGTGCTGGGCAGCGGTCAGCACCGAGCCATGTGTATGCAGGAGACGGGTTCACCCTGATACCAGGGCGGGAGGAAGTGGGTGGGGTGCCTTCAGCACCCATGCTGGGCAGACATCGGTCCTGGCACCAGGGTGGGAGGAAGGGCAGGAGAGAGGTGGGGTGCAGTGCCCCGCGCCATGCCAGATAGCAGTCAGTCCTGGCACCTGTCTTACAGACCTTTGCTGCCCCGTCATTTGATGACAAGATCCTGGAGGTGGTGGCTGTGTTTGGCAGCATGCAGATGGCAGTATCACGGGTGATTAAGCTGCAGCATCACCGAATCGCCCAGGTAATGGCGTGGTCTTGGAGCCGAGAGCATCTTTAGAGGCGGTCTGGCCATGTTCCCTACTAGGGAAGACAGTGGGGCCAGGCTAAGAACCAGCCTGGATTCCACCAGTATACTTCCTGCATGTGTCCTCTCTCCCTAAATGGGACACTGTCCACATAGCCCACAGAGTCTGGCTGTCTCCATGCCAGGCCCACAAACTTAACCTCCTGGCCCAGAATCCTTCCTCGCATGCCCAGTGTGATATGGTGGACACACCCCTCTAACGAAACCTGGTTCTGCGTTGGGCTAACTCCTGTCCCTCTCCGCTCTGCGTGGGTCCCAGCTCTCCCCACCCCCACCGTCCTCGTGGATGCCTGCAGACTTGCCCCTCTTTTTTCCTGTGGACCAGCCTCTCCCTGCAGTTGTCCCCAGCTGTGACTGCTGACTTCCAGGCCCTGCTCTTGGGCAGGGTGTCTGGTCAGGCAGAGGGCAGTGGTAGCATGCTCCACAAGTGGGACACCCGGTTCCAGGCAGTGGGGTCACTTCCCAGGCCTGGTCTGTGACACTCCGACCTAAAGGCCAAGTTCACTGGCAGGCTCCCCTAGCAAAGTGTGTGACCCCAGCGGGAGCCATGGCGCTGTGGGCCGTGGGAGAGGCTGCACCGGGAACCCCGTGCCCGTGACTGCGTGCTTCCCGGGTGGGGCCTGAGCGGTGGGCTGGATGTCTCCGCAGTGCCGCACCGTAAAGATCTCCATCCTGGGGGACGAGGGGGTCCCTGTGCAGGTGGACGGGGAGGCCTGGATCCAGCCCCCAGGCTACATTCGGATCATCCACAAGAACCGGGCACAGACGCTCACCAGGGACAGGGTAAGGGGGGCCGGGACACCTGCCGCCGGCCTCTTTCCTCCTCATGCCACATCTGCGTGTGTGTTCTGTGGTTTTCCACGATGAGTGTGTGCTCCTTGTGTGACGGTTTTAGGCGAGTCACTGTGGAGTTGGCTGTAGGAGAGGAGGCTGCTTGTCCCACCCCCCCACCGCCACCCCAGGGCCGGGTCCCATTGCATGTGTTTTCTAGAAGCCCACCAAGAGGGCTCTCCTGGGACTTGAGTTTTGCTGCTGCTCCTCCGCTGGGCAGAAGAGTGAACTTGGCTTCCTGAGGCCTCCCATTCACTGCTGCTCAGAGTGAGCCTCTCACCCCTTGGGGGCACTGTGCTTCAAATACACAGGCAGAGGGAGCCCTTTGCCTTGGGTGCGGTGCTGGGTGCCTGACCTCACGTGGCACTCAGCATAGGGATGACCGAGGATCTGTGGGGTCAAGGCGCCACCCCAGTGAGGGATGAGCCGGGGTCCAGCCCAGGCCGCCTGATGCAAGGCCTCTCCCGTCACCACCAGATCCCTGAGCGGGTTTCGTGTACCTTTATTCAGCTTGGGGTTCGGATGTCTGTGGCTTTTAGGGGACCCTCTGGGCATGCCCTTGATGCCGGGAAGCAGGCCCGGCCTTGGATGACGTTGCCGATGTCACCGGGAAGCAGGCCCGGCCTTGGATGACGTTGCCGACTGTCGGGAAGTGAGGCTGTTGTCCAGGCTCCCTTATGTGCTTTGTGAAAGAAGAGCCTGGATTAGCTGGACTGTTGGTTCTAGAATTTTCTTTCACACCCAGATACTAAGCCAGTAGGGCAGTATTTTTGGACCGCCTCCCTGCCTGCACAGACTGTAAAAGGGCAGAGTGCCTCCCCTTCCTAGCTCTTGTTAGTACTGAGGTCTGCTGTGGTGTGGGATATGAGTGTGCCCTCTCTGAGGCTGGTGGACAAGTCTGTGACCCCGCACTCTGCCCGCCCCAGGCCTTTGAGAGCACCCTGAAGTCCTGGGAGGATAAACAGAAGTGTGAGCTGCCACGGCCCCCGTCCTTCTCGCTGCACCCCGAGGTCCTGTCCGAGGAGGAGTCCACCCAGATGAGCCAGTTTGGTCAGGCGGCAGGAGCTCTCATCCACAGGTGAGCCCACACCCACCCAGGGAAGCCTGGGCCCCGCGGGCTCCGAGTGGCGGTGGCACCCAGGCCAGAGGGCAGCTCCCACGACACGTCTCCTGGGTGTGCTGGTGAACAAGGGTGCTTCTGGTGGGCTGCCTGCTGGGGCTTTGCTTGGCTCGGACAAACCATCTTCCTGAGATTGTCGGAGTGCCGTGGGCGGGAGGTGAAGCCCACAGGCATTTACAAAGCTGCCTCATTCCCAGGGGAGTGTCCCCCTCAGCCCCTTCGCTTCACCTCTCTGTACCCCAAAGAGCTGGCTTGCCCTCCACTCACAGGTTGATTTAGGAACCAGTTGCCTTCGAGTGGATTCCACTCGTGGCAAACTGACGTGTGTCAGAGCAGAACTGGGCTCCAGAGGGTTTTCTGTGCTAGTATTTTGGGAGTTGATCACCAGGTCTTTCTTCTGAAGTGCATCTGGGTAGACTTGAACTTCCCACCTTCTGGTTAGCAGCCAAACGCTAGAATGCCAAGGAAGACCATCGATGACAGTCGTCAGGCAGTTCAGATACACTGATGATTATCTTTCTCTATTAGTGTCATTTCACGTTTATATAAATTAAAAAACAAAAAAACACGTTGTTGTCTAGTCAATTTCAGACTCACAGTGCCCCTAGAGGACAGAGTGGAACTGCACCAAAGGGTTTCCAAGGCTAAAATCTTTATGGGAGCAGACTGCCACATCTTTCTCCTGTCACGTGAGCAGCTGTTGGGTTTGAACTGTTGACCTTTAGTTTAGCAGCTGAGTCCCACTCTGTCCTGTAGGGTCGTGTTGATTCGACGGTGGTGGGTTTCTGGGCTGCTTTGGTGAATTTGCCTTGGGCCCTGTAGTTGCCTGGGGTGGGTCCCTGACCACAGCTGTCTACAGGCTGTGTGTCTGCCTTGGGCTGTCTTATCCACTGGTCTGGTAGACTACTAGGAAAGGTTGGTTTCTGTGTTGGGTTCCCTGTCTAAGGTCTCCTCTGGCCACTGGTTGGAGTGGATCTGAAGGCCATCCTGTGCTGGGGCCCGGCAGTGGTCTCTGCCCCACTCTCTGGGCAGTTCTGAGCCCACGCCCTCGTGAGGTCGTGCTGTCTGATGAGTGCTGTGTCCCTTTCTCCCCAGCATCCGGGAGATCGCACAGTCCTACCAGGATATGGAGCAGGAGCTCGCCCACGCTGTCAACGCCAGCTCCAACGCCATGGACCGAGTCTACGGCAAACCCCGAGCCACAGAGGTAGCCGGACTCCAGCCCCCGCCTCGGTGTCCGTGCCCCGGCTGCTCCATGCATGTGTTTTCCCTCGTAGGCCCTGAACTGCAGCTTTGTCCTGGAGATGGTGAACAACATCAGAGCACTGCGCAGTGAGACGGAGCTGCTCCTGGCTGGCAGGGTGGCCCTGGTAAGAAGGGCGGCCCCGGTGAGGTGGGCGGCCAGCCGCAGGGTGGCCCCGGTGAGGTGGGCGGCCAGCCGCAGGGTGGCC